CTTTAAATGCTAGATTCTGATCTCGTCTGATCTCCATTGCATGAGAGAGGTTAGTAGTTTAACATGAAATAAGTTTACCTCAGTGTGAGTTATATGTCAATGTGTTGAAATTTCACCTTTCATTAATAGTGTTGACTATTGGCTCCCGTTTTAGCATAAGGCTTTAAATTAAAGGATTTTTCTGAACAAGATCATGATCAACATATTTCTTTCTAGGTGTATTTAAGTTGTTGACTATGAAACAAAACATCTCAAACATGTCCTAGATCCTCCCATAGTCGTTCATCGAGAGAGGTCTATACTCGTGGACTAGCATGTGGATTTTTGTGTCCATCACTTGATTAGTTCCTTCATAAGTAACCTTCAAATTATTCCACAAATCTGTGGTCATCTTTCACTTAGAGATAGTCATCTGAATTTACGGTGCAATAAAGACAATTATTAGCCATGGCATTTATTTCAAATTGATGATCGGAAGACCGCAACCATGCTTAATTAATAAGAACCCATGAACAAAATCATTAGACTGTGTGGAAATCCGTTTTCTCTCCTTCCAATAAGCATGATTCGTTCTGTCAAAGAGAGGATGCCTTGATGGATATTGACTCTTGGAAATCTCTGCACAAAAATATCTTTTGGTCATCTCAATATTTGTATTTGAAGTTGTCAAGTCTTAAGAAAGTCACAGCTCTAATATTAATTTCTAAAACTAATGCTCACCTATAGGGGGGTGAATAATGGTGTAGCCCATTTTGGCCAATTTTTGTGAGATTTTTCTTTCAAATGCTCTCAGAATAGCACTCACCAAATTAAGTGTATTTCTAAACATTAGTAATAAAGGAAATCAATAAATAACACCACAATCTATATTTCTTTGACTTAATGCCTACATTCAGTCTCAGAGCAACCATGCTCGAGCCTTCATTAACCACCATACCAAACTTAATGGTGACTGGAAAACAATACAACCCAATAACTTAATTTCACAAGCTTCTTATATTTTTTCCAATGACTTGATTTCACAAGTCTTGAGATTTTTTCCCATCAAACGTTTGATTTCATAAACAAATATGATTTCTACCTAAATTACTTGGTGTAGTTCTAACAAAAGGATTTACATTGAACCCTTTCATGAAGGTAAAAAAGACCAAATCAAATTATGAAGTCTGAATAAGTAGTTTTTGTAACACTATAAAGATCCTACAAAATATAACAATATCAACTATCAAATGCACATAAAACAAAAATAGAAGTCAAGCATAGAAGGATTATGAACAACAACAATCATATATTTTGATAGATGAAGCATGTATGATGTTCTTAAAGCTCACCCCCAAACTTTTTCAAAATAATCATACGCTCCCACGACATCCAATAAATATTGTTCACATTCCCACATTTAATGGAAACCATAATTTACTTGCCCGCAAGGCACTGCTCGCCATCTTCTCAATAGCAAAACAGAGTGTGTAGTATGTAACAAAAAGACACTTATTGCATCTTGGGGAATAGCCTGAGTAACAAATTTTAATAAAACTGCCTTACTGGCTTTTGAAAAGAGCATATTATTCCATTAATCCAACGTCTCGCAAGTCTTACATAAAATGTAGGAGAATAATGCCATTTTATTTCTTTAGAGAAAAGGAGGGAGACAAAGATACATACCAAATTCATTAGATAGAGTTGCACTACACAAGTTTGTAATCCGTGTACAATCTGCCACATAAATACTAAAAGTAAAGCACACATTAAACTTGTTGAAACTGATTACACATCCCATAGGTGTATCACTACTATGTATTCAGGGTTTTGCATTGCTTATTTTGGACCAATTGCATCAGTTTTTATGTGATGCTAAAGCTCAAGATGAAAAAGCTAGAGATCAATTGAATCATTTGTTATACCCAATGCAATTGATAACAATTGCATCGATTACTATGTAATAACTGATATAATTAATATTTTTTTACAAAAGAGCGATATCATCGATTTTAAAGAAATAATCTATGCAAAAGAAGGGTAATAACATCATCAGTGTAAAAGAAACACAACCACATCAGAAGCACTCTTTCATTCTGGATATTTCATTCAATGTTATTCCATAGATAAACTTTAGTCTACTGTCCTATTCCTCTTCTTCTTCTCTTCTCTTTCTTTTTCTGGCAAATTTTTTCTTCCTTTTGTTTTTCTCCTGCTCACAATCTAGATCCCTGCAAAGACAATGGTTAATCCTCACATAAACTCCTAAAAATTTGACAACACATCAAGGCAGATTATTTGTGAACCGTTACTTTGATATTTAAAACAAAGTACAGACGGTTTGTACTCAGCTCAGAGGGGGCAGATCAACACCCTTAATGCATAATTTAATGTGTCTAGACAATATTATGGATTATATAGTAGGATATTAGATTATATATTTATTAGTTTATTATTATTATTATTATTATTATTATTATTATTATAATTCTCTCCTTTGCCTCAATTCTTCTTCTTCTTCCTCGTCTCATATTCTCAAGAGCTTGAAGACGCTCTGAGTCTTCCCTATCATATCCGCTCGAAGGAGGTTATAATTTCACTCACCTAATAAAACCTAGATTACAATATAATAATAATAATAATAATAATAAACTAATAAATATATAATCTAATATCCTACTATATAATCCATAACAGTCTGGTGCATGCGTGAGTAGATCTATGGAAAAGCCTCAATAGTAGTGGTATCAGACCCCCTATACCTCATCACTATCACGTTCTACAACGAAGAACTCAACCTCCTCGCTCCCTAGAATAATAACGGACTATGGATTAGAGGTAATGTCGATTACCTCCTTGTCTTTCACCGGAGCAACATCGGCATCATCGTTGTTATTATCGATGACAATGACCTCATCATCCTCCTTATCGTCAGAGATGAAGGGGTAGCCACTATCTCCAAACTGCGTTTCTAGAATACATGATTCGTAAAGGAAATCATGGAACTCCAATGGATTGGATAAGTGTATTTTTGGAAAAAAGTGGGTTAAAATTGGATATATAAACTTTATTTCTGGACAGAGGGAGTATACAAAAAAGAAAATCACAGTGAAGAACATTAAAAAAATATTGGAATCTCCTCGATCCCGTCTCCACTGATTTTAGTTGATCTCGCTCCATCACTAGCCAGAAACTCGTCACCGATGCTTCACACTTGCTCTATGTATTTCCTCATTACCGATATTTCACACTTGTTCTATGTCCTCATCGTCGCTGCTTCAAACTCGCTCTATGTCCTCACTAATGATCCATCAATGCCGGAAACTCATCCTCGTTGTCATCAGCTTAGAGGTGTCGAGAACGTGGGGGAGATGGATAGATCGAGGAGATGGATGTGTGGAGAGTGCGAATGAGATAGATCCAAGAGATGAATGTGTGGTTATAGAATCAAGGAGTTGAGATAGATAGATTGATGAGATAGATTAATAGATAGATCTCATCGATAAATAGAGAGATAGAATTGAATGGTTAATAAGTCAATTAAAAGCTTGTATAAAGGCCGCATCCCAGTTACGTCACTCAATTTTTTTTACATCGGTTGTAAGGAAAAACCAATGCAAAAATCCTGTGTATTTTATTAATTCTTCGAGTGAAGGTTTGGCATCGGTTGTTAGAAAATAACTCATGCAATGGATCAATTGCATCATTTATTTTCTAATAACTGATGCTAAAGCTTCCGTCCAAAAGCTAAAAAATATGGGGGGTTTCTGCCTCAACTCTTAGGAAACAACCGATGCAATTACCTAATTGCATCAGTTGTTCTAATAACCGATATTTTTGAGACAGGTTTTTTTGCTTGTTTTTGTAGTAGTGTACATACTTTGAGAGAACCTCACCTATCTGTCTCCTCGACTAAGTTTGCACAAAGAGAAAGTTATCATCAATAAAAAAGGTGGGCAATTGATGGAGCCCTTGATGCATCCTAAACATAAGCGAGAGATAATCCTTTAGAGCACCGAAGGAATACATAATGGCTTAGAGGATCACCCTGGCAAGTGGCAAAGCACCCCCCCACCCCCGAGAGGGCACAACTTGCTTGATGGGAGTTACCATTGATAAGTACTCGATAACGAATCGTAGTACCACTGAATAAAATAAAAATTAATTGACTCGAAAGAAAAGCATACAAGTGTTCGAAATGGTGTGTTAGAGAACCTTAATAGAAAATTGTTTAGAGACAATGTTGCACAGAGCAATCAACCAAAGGTCAACTACCGCCTTCGGGAGCTGTTTCGTCGGAACAAGGAAGATTGTATGCCACACCATTTAGTTGTAAATTAAAACACTCCAAATATCAACTAATCTATATCTACAAACCAATTCACATTCACTAAAAACCAAAATACTAAAATGGAATCTATTAAAATCAACTCTATAAAAAACCAAAATTTAGAAATCATTCTTTATACCATAGGTCCATTATTATTATTCCTTTCTTCCAAGGGGTCATCCACAAGGTAGGGAGGGAGGGTGAAATGGTAAAAAAAAAAAGCAAAGAGGAAACCACTCCTTCACCACCACCACCGTCACTCCAAAGTCGTCTAAAGCCAGAATTGAAGGGCGAGCCGTAAAAAGACTTAAATTGTGTGTGTGCGCTGCGCAGAGAGAATTGAAGAGAGAGAGAGAGAAAGAATACAAAAACATAGAGAGAGAGAGAGAGAGAAAGTTGCAGAGTTGCAGCAGCTGCTTTTTTGGCGATGGCGGCGTTGCAGTCCTGTAATTCTACAACACCATAACTATTACTTCTTCTTCTTCTTCTTTTCTTCTTTCTTCTTCCTTGTATTGATATAATTAATGCCCACCCATGACCCATCCATCCATTTATACATACATCTACTTCAACTAGATCGATCTCTCTCAAGAAATTAAAGAAGAAGAAGAAGAGAGAAAAAAGAGGCAGGAAAGAATTGAAAGAGACCCATACTATACTGAACCGGTGGGATTTCCTTTCTTCTGATTAGTAATAATCTCCGATCTCCAAAAAGTCTTTCTTCATATCTGCTTTGTCTGTCCAATAATTTAAAGAAAGCTGCAATTTTTTCATCCCTTTCTTAATTGTCACCATTACACCACTTCAAATAAACACAACCCATTACTCTTATTATTGGATCCATCCCGAAGAGAGAGAGAGAGAGAGAGAGAGATTAATTAGACACGTGAAGTTTTCTTTAAGTTAAAGAATATATGGGTAAAGTTTTGGGAACAGTCATCGGAGGTGAGGAAGAAGAAGAGTAGCGCCGGCGGACGGACTTATGGATTGTGGGTCTTGCCGATTCCACTCCGGGAACAAATGGCTGGCTTCTTTTCACTAGGTGGAGGAAGAGGGAGAGACGCCGGTGGTGATCACAGCAACGCCGCCGGGCAACCACAGAGCAGCGGGAATAACAACCGCCACAGCGCCGCCGCCGCGCATATCAGCCCGGAGAGTTGGTTCCTGCTCCGGAATGATCAGGATATACCTCCGGCGTACAAGGGATTCGAGCTATGGCAAGATCAGCCCTCCATCCGCCACCACCAGCACCAGCACCAAATCTCCCACCTCCAGGATCTGTACTCCTCCGCCGCGGCCGCCGCCGGCCTGAGCCGGAACGCGGGCGGAGTACTCAACGCCTCCACCTCCGCGGTGCCCGCCGCGGAAGAGACATCCAGATCGGCCGCGGCGCTTGTCATGATGAGCGGCTCCGGCGGGATCAGCTGCCAGGACTGCGGCAACCAGGCCAAGAAAGACTGCTCGCACATGCGCTGCCGCACTTGCTGCCGGAGCCGGGGTTTCCAGTGCAACACCCACGTGAAAAGCACGTGGGTCCCGGCGGCAAAGCGCCGGGAACGGCAGCTCCTAAACCAGCAACATCAACAGCTCTCCTCCTCCTCCACCGCCTCGCAGAGCCAGGACACCCTCCAGCTCCGCGGCGGCGGAACCGGCCGAGAAACACCCAAAAGGCATAGAGACGATCCCAACGCTTCCTCCCGTTTGCCCTCCGCCATTTCCGGTAAAACCCATCTCTCTCTCTCTCTCTCTCCCCGTCCCAAAGTGATTTCTTTGAATTATATTTCCGGCGATCTGATTTCAATTTTTTTGTTTTGTCTCTTGGTTGGATTTATATATAGGGCTAGAAATGGGGAATTTTCCGGCGAAAGTGAGCCTAAACGCGGCGTTCCACTGCGTCCGGATGAGGTCGATCGACGACTCGGAGGACCAATGCGCCTACCGAGCCGCGGTGAACATCGGGGGCCATGTTTTCAAGGGAATCCTATACGACCAAGGGCCCGAGAGCCGGTACATGGCGGCGGGGGAGAGCTCGTCTGGAGGCAGTGCGGGCGGGGCCCACACTGCACAACAGAATTTGCTGTCCTCAGGTGGTGGTGGGTGTACAGCAGCCACCGCCACCTCAGGCAGCGCCAGCGGAGGAGGAGAGGGACACGCGCCGTTGTACGACCCGTCGCTGTTCTCCTCGTCGGCCCCACTTTGCAGTTTCATGGCTGGTACGCAATTCTTCCCACCTCCAAGATCTTGATGATGATGACTGTCATTGCCAATGTTCTTGTTTGGTCATCATCCGATCTTACATTCTTTATTATCCCAACACATATATGTGAATTTATTGTTAGGGCTTTGGTGGTCTCTTGAGGGGTTTCTTTCAATTATATGTTTTAAATGTTACTTCATATTTATAGCTCAAAAATGTTATTGTTATTTTTATTTCTCTGTGATATATACAGTTGCATATAAACTGTTCTTGTACCCATTTTTTTGCTGATTTTTTTTTCGGCTTTTGCTTTATTTTGTTATTCTTATGATCATTATAATAAGAACATGGTTTTGATCCATATGCTAGTATTAATCAATTGTTTTAATTATCAGTAATATGTGTGTGGTTTGCCTATAGGCTTGTTTGGATGGAGGATAAGGGAGGGTGAGTAAATACCATATACTTCATCTGTTCCTTAAAGGTTTTTCCATTTTGATTTTTTAGAAAATTAGGGAGAGATATTTTTGTATTGATTTTACTAAAATATCTTTGTTGTGATAACTAAAAGTTAGATGTGATGAGAAAATTATTAGTAAAAAATCTACATAGATCTTTTCATTACTTTTTTTAATATTTAAAATACTACAACTACCCCCACTATTTTATTTATTACACCTTTTCCACCTTATTTAATACACCCCACCCATTTTCATTAAGGGTATTTTGGTAAACTTTCACTTTTTCAACTCTTTTTAAAATCACAAAAAGTCAAAACGAGAAGATCTTAGGCAGACGGGGGGAGTATAATGTAATAGGTATGTTATGAGATTTAGTAAAAGTAAAAGTAGTTTTTTAATAAAAAAAGGGAAAACTTTATGGGAAAGAAAAAAGAAAAGAGAATGAAGTTTATTGAACGGATAACAAATGCGATGACGGAGTATAATGGAAGGGGAAGGTAGGAGGGTTTAGTAGAGTGTAGGGAAGGTGATGAGGTGAGATCAAATCAAGAACAATGTTATTGTTACCCCCAACAAATACACACACAAGTGCAAAGCACTGACAAATGACAAAACACTTAGTTAATTTGACTGTGTTTTGTACTCACATTTTGTGTTAGTGTGTACCCGTGCAAAGCACTGGTGTACAAAATGGTGTCCACCAGTGAGATGCAAGTAGCACAACCATCAAATCCAACCAACCACAACAATGGAGTGAGGCATAATTTAAATGATAAAAAGGGGTGCATATATACTGGGAAAATGTTTGGTTTTGACTTTTGTCAATGACAATAAGGAATGATCATTTTTTTTTTAAAAAAAATACTTAGTTGTTTCAATTCCAATGAGTCATTCCTCCTTTGATATCCACCCATCATTTATATCTTTGGAATCTATCTAGGGAGCCATTTTTTTTAAAAAAAAACACATCTATTGTGAATCTTATTATAGAGTTTGATGAATCTAATTTCTGTGCTTGTGTTTGTCCATTCTCTTTTTTTTTAATATGATTTTTAGTGCTTTAATGAACAACAATAAACACAACAGACCTAAGTGAAAAGTCTCTACTTAATCATCAAAATGTGAGTGACTCAAGTTTCCTTCAAATATATATTGTTTATTCCCTTTTTTCTTTGAGAGTTGACAATAAGAGTTAAATTAATAGTATAATGTTTTTGAAAAGTTTAATTTAATACTCCGTGCAAAAAAAAAATCTTCAATTCCACTTTCTCTTCCTCTTAATAACTTGGACTTCAATAAGTATCATTTACTCATTACCTTACATTAAATAAATGTTCATCTTCAATATAATTACAAGCATTCCCAGCCTTGTTTTTTTTAATTTTTTTACATAGATGTCCTTATCATAAATGGGAGTATATTATAAATGTTCATACATATACCGATATACGTACATGCATACATATATACATCTTTTTTGTCCGGAAAACATTTTTTCTCACTTTATTTTCATCTGTCTCAAAAAGTCTCTCTAAAGTTTCATATTTACTCATACTTTGTATTAATTGTCAACTTACACGTCACATCATACTTATTTATTACCCATATACCTATCACATACTCTAAAGTAAAGGTAAAAAATGAGAAGTAACACCCAAATTACAATTACCTTGAACACTTTGTACTCTGGATTTAGAAGGGTTATTAAGGTGATCTGGTGGATTTTAAAGACAATCAGTGTCAGCCCTAGGTGTAACTAGGTTACTGCAGAAGATTGATTAATTAGCAATGAAATGTATTAGAGGGGTTTTCCAAAAAAAAAAGAGTATAATTAGAGGTTGAATAGAGTCTATCACACATCGGAAAGTTGAATAGAAAAGTTATCGGTATATAAGCTCTTGAGTTGAACTAACTAATAGATTAGATTCAATCTTTTAATGTGGTTCAACCCAAATGTCTTATTACCCAATCCAGTTGTCTATACCCATCCCAAATTTATCATGGTATCGGAGCGAGTTTTAGCCCACCTCGTTTGTCAAGGTGTCCGTCTAGACGTTCATTCCTAGCGGCCCGTTAGTCTTTAGCCCAGTTGTCCGTATGGAGGTTGTACCCAACGGCCTGTGGCCTATTTAACACGATTGCTCGTCTGGAAGTCCATACCCAGCGGCTCGTGATCCTTTAGGTGTTCGCGCTCATGAAAAAAAGTCAAGGGAATGGGAGTTCATTTGCAAGTGGTCAACCGGTTAGATTCAAAATGACCCGGTTGTCCACTTGAGGGGGAGTGTTAGAGTACATCCCACATCGGAAACTTCATGAGTAAAATAATCAGTATATAAGCTCTAGAATTGAACTAACTAATAGATTGGATTTAATCTTTTAATGTGGTCCAGCCCAAGTGTCTTATTGCCCAATCCAGTTGTCCATATTCATACTAAATTCTATCATTCATCATCATCATCATGCATCATCATACTGCAATACTGCATGCATATATATACATATAATGCATGCCTGATATACATGAAGGTTATTTCCCTTTCCCAATGGCAAAAAATGTACAGATTTAGAAGCTGTTTTTGAAACAGGTTATGGAACATCCCATTACCTTAAATACCCTTGCAAGATAGCTGCTGTTTTTTTCTTATCTGACCCACTGCATGTTACCCTCTGCTTCTTTTTTATTTTATTTTTTTTAAAATCTTAGGGGTTTATTCTCTCCATCTACATGCCCTTATTGCATACTTACACATTTGTGCATTTAAAGAGTATATTTGCCCTATCAAGAAACTTTGGGTTTTGGGTTTCTTTTATGGCACAGTTTTTCATATCATTGGAAAGAGTTGTCCATTAATTCTCCATCTTTTATTCTAACTAATTTTCCATTTCTTGATGACTGCATTTTTTTTCAATTGTGTTATGGTTTTTTTTTCTTTTTTTTTTTTGCCCCAAAAAATGGATCTGAGGAATTATTTAGCTCAACTTTTCTATTGTTCATATTTGAGTTTATGAAGAGAGAAAAAGTACGTTTTCTTTTCCAATTTGTTCTTCACTGTTGGCTCTAGTTACAGTATTACGAAGAAAAAAAAGTACAGTATTATTTATGGAGTGTTTTCAAAAAAATTATTTTTTGCTTTTCTGGGATAAGCAAATACGGACTACTGTAGTGTTATTTAAGTAAAAGTGCGAATTGTTTGTTTATTTGAGTGTAATTTTTTGTTTAAATGTTTTTTAAAGTTTGCAAACCAAAATTTTTAAGCACGGAGTATTTATTACTTTCTCCGTCCTAAAACATTTTTCCCATTTTTGGTTTACGATTTTTCACTTGCTTTTTTTAAATTTAATTTATTGAATTATACGTGTAAAGTTTTAAAATAAAAATTGTATGGAGTATTTTTAAAAATTTATATTAAAAGGACCTTCAAAACAAGAGGCGAGATTACTATATTATTTTATCAAATAACTAATTAAAATAGATAAATGAAGAAATTAGAGTTTGACTGTGTGAATAGCTATTGGGAAGAAAGCTTTAGGAAGAATGGATTGTACATGTAAAAGATATAAAAAAGTTACTTCTTCTTTCCCAATTCACATATCATATTCTTTATTCATAAAATAAATTTTAGCCATTTTATTTGCCTATTTTTATTATTCTTTTAATACAATAATATACTCATTTTATAAAAATAAAGAGCAATGGTCAATTTATTTGAGATGGGGGAGTAGTTGGAATAAAAAATTGTAATATTGTTATTTATATAAAAGACAAATTTTTTTGTGGTCCTATGATTGACTCTCATTTTATTGACCTTAGTCCTTAGTACATAAACACCATGAATGAATTGGGTTATTTAAAAAATCCTTCTGTCCTTCCATGAAAAGTGCGAGCAAGTTTACATTACACATGTAAACTTTAAAATTATAGAATCACAACTCTATTTAAAATAATTTGTAATCAATAATAGGAAATTTAAGCGGCTATAAACCTAATTTTGACATGTGACTTTGAAAAGTGATTACTCAAGTACTTTTTGAATTATACTCCCTCCGTCCCAAATTATTTGTCACATTTCTATTACCGAGGCAAAATATCAAGCTTTTTCAATTTATTTTATTTACATATTGGTAAAGAAATAAAAAATAAAAATTACATATCAAAAAATTACATGAAAAGTTCTTCAAAATAAGATGTGTCAAGAGTATTTTATTTTATCAAATAACTAATGAAAACGTAGAAATAAACAAAAGTTTCCGCGACTGTTGAAAAACCAAATGTGGCAAATAATTTGGGACGGAGGGAGTACCAAATGTCAAATAAAAATTTTAATCTTTTGCAAACAATCACTGGTGGATGCATCCATCTTTGATCTAACCTCGAAATTAGACTTATGGTAATTATTTTTGTAAGCTATGGCATGCAGTGTATGGAAGAATTTAGTACTAATTAAAAAAGAGTTCATATTTTGATCAAGATAAGGAATAGTTAAATTGTAATTGACTTTTAATTTTATCCTTGATGTGATGGGTAAAAGTAAAATGTGATGGTAAATTATTAGAAAAAAATACTACCTATGATGTAATATTTAAGGTATGAATAACCAAGGGTAAAAGTGTTTTTAGATAGAAAGTGAAAGTATTTCGTTGGAATTAAAAAAAATGAAAGAAGAAGTGTTTTTTAAATTAACTTTTAATATTAAGATACGGAGTATGATTATAATTTTTTTTTATCTTTTTATAATTGTGCCGCAGGAAATGTTAATTTAAAATTTTATATCACGACCACCGTCATCGCTCATTATTATTATACACATATATGAGTA